GGTAAGTCACAGTTGGCAACCCTACCACATGGGGTTCCATGTACTCCAGATAACATCAAGGCAGCATGATGCCTACACAGTTCTGTGCTAGATACCAAACTCTGTGAGAGCACAATGAGAAGATTATCTGGTAAAGAAATGTTGCTCACTCTTCTTTTTACAGATCTTGCCCTCGTCTAGGTTTCCTTCTCTGTCGTTTCCCCTCTCCTCTTTCTTAATCGCTAACAATCTGCACGACAAGGTGGCAGCATCTTGGTCAGTGTGGAGCACCTGAGAATCAGTTCCCCGTGAGCCTGAACTCACTTTTTGCAGGCAAAACAGAAGAAGGGGCAAGAGCCCAACCCAAAAATGGAACTGGACACCTAACAGGCTGAGGTCACAAGCGCGCACACGTGTATAAATAAACGAAATATATCTTTAATATTACAGTGCAATTAAATAGCTAATTAAAAACTCCAAATAGTTAATTAAAATCTCCCGGCGCACATATGCACACTGTGAGTGACGGAACTGTTGTATTCAGTATGATTATACCATCTCTCACTGTCTTTGGTGTGGCTATAAAGATCAAGAGCCAGATGTAATACTCCCACAGTACCATACATGCCTAACTGTGATACAGATTCCTTCATATAGTGCATAAAGGTAAAGGTAAAGGTTCCCTTTCTCAAAAGCCAGTCGAATCCGACTCTAGGGTTGCGGTGCTCATCTCCGTTTCAAAGCCGAAGAGCCAGCGCTGTCCGAAGACGTTTCCGTGGTCATGTGCCTGGCATGACTAAACACCAAGGCGCACGGAACGCTGTTACCTTCCCACAAAAGTGGTACCTATTTATCTACTTGCAATTTCTTGCTTTCAAACTGCTAGGTTGGCAGGAGCGGGAGCTAGAGATGGGAGCTCACTCCACCATGTGGCACCAGGGTCTTGAACTGCTGAACTACTGACCTTCCACAGCCTGCAGTTCAGCGTCTTAACCACTTGATCACCGCAGCTATGTAGTGCATGCGTGGTATTAAATTGGGACCACTGAAGAAGGCTTTTGCGGCTGAAATGTGGCTGGTCCAATTTAATTTGTTTATTAGTTCCAATCAGTACTAATAAGAGTATACTACATTGTATGTTATGAGTACAGCAAGGTGTGCTACTAAGAGTAGACTTACTGTAATGTGTACTGCACAGTGTGTTACCTGTATGGCCTAAAGGCCTATTCTGTTTTTAATTAACTATTTAAGTGCACTGTAAAATTAAAGATATATTTTGTTTGATCTTTCTTACATATATGCTTGTGACCTCAACCTTTTAGGTATCCAGTTTACTTTTTGCAGGGCCTATAATAGCAAAGGTCTCTTCTCCCTCCAAGGTAACACGGAGATTTTTCTCGCCTGCAGGATGCCTGGAGTGACCAAAAGGGGGAGCTGCACATGGACTCCGAGCAGAACTATAAGCTCCTCAGAGCACTGAAAACCTCTGAAGGACTCTGCCTGCTGTTTAAGAGGCCCTTTGCAACCTGTGACCCCCGGGACTATCTCATCGAGGTAGTGCCTCTCTGTGCCCACCTGCGGCACCTTGTACCAGATTTAAATGTGGGGTTGGCAGGACAGAAGAGCTCACCTGTGCAACTTAGGGTTGCTAACGCGGGCTTGGACAATTCCAGGACATTTGGGGGTGGAGCCGGGGGGGGGCAGAGTTTGGGGAGGGAGCTTAGCAGGGGTGTGAGGCCACCGAGGTGACCGTCCAAAGCTGCCACTTCCTCCAGGGGGACTGATCTCTGTAGTCTGGAGGTGAATTGTAATTCCAGGACACCTCCCGGCCCCACCAACGGGATGGCAGTCCTAGCAGCTCTGCACATGCTCAGCATCTAACTGAAACTGGGCCCTCAGCCAATACGTATAGCCCACAAGATCACCAGTAAGGGCAGGCATTGGTGCTGGCACACTTGTAGACGCTGTGTGTTGTGTCACATGGTTGAGTTTCTCCGTCCCATTAGGACCGCATTTGGTTGAGCATCACTAGCCCAGAGCTAGGAATTATGCCCCATGAATTGTGGCTTATATTTAGAGAAGAGAATAGGGTTGCCAAATGGTGTCGGGGGGCGGGGAATCCCCCGCTTTGACGGCCCGATTTTCGATGCGATGAAAATCGGGCCCGGGGGAAAACCCACCCCCGCGTGTGCGTCACCTGGAAGTGACGTCGCACGCTGGGGGCGGGGCCATGGCCATTTGAGGGCCGTGGCCCTGCTCATTAGGGCTGCCAGCTCCAGGTTGGGAAATACCCGGGGGTTTGGGGAATGGGTCCTGAAGAGGGCCAGGATTGGGGAGGGAAGGGATTTCAACAGGGTATAGAGTTCACCTTCCAAACAGCCATTTTCTCCAGGTGACCTGATCTCTAGTTTGCATGGTGAATTTCATATTTAAATTTTGAACATGGGATTTTAGTATCTCATATTTAAGTGTTTTAGGGAGCATACTTAGGCAGATCTATTCAGAAGGAAGTCTTATTCTGTTCAGTGGGGCTCAATCCCAGGAAAGTGTCCTTAAGAGATTTAGGAATTCTTGATTTGCCCCCTCTCTCCACAATTGCTTTAATTTTTGGTGGGGCTAAACATAAACTTTCATATGCTGTAAAGTGTGTTTCATGCATTTTGAGCGTGCATTTTTATTTTGTACCACTTCTTGTGGTTATATACAAAAATGAGTATGTGTTTCAAACAGCAATCCCATTGGTGTGTCAGATATGAAAATGCAGGAGCATATGATACAATAGGTGATATGGGTGTCAGGTCCCCTGCTAAGTCACTCTCCACACACTATTGGCAGTGGAATGTTTATTGGAGATATGCTTGCAGTGGGTTCAAGAGCTCTTGTTAGGACTAAAGAAATTCACGGGAAATTACAATATATAGGTAAAGGCATAAAATTCTACATTCATCCACGTCACACCTACCCCTGGCGTTACTATGGCAACACAGTTGCCATATATGGTGCCCTATATAACTAGGCTGGCAGAGAGATCCTCCAAGGTCAGTCCCATGGGAACCAACCCTCGGGGCACATCTTCAGGAAAGTTACGGCCTCTGCTCCCATGCACTCCAACAACAGCACACACCCCTTAGGGTGACAAGCAAAGGTGAAGAGAAACAGAACTTATAGAAATCGAAAGTTAAGCCTGAGCTTGACAATGAGAGGCAATAGGATAACCATCTTCAAGAACTTGAAGGGCTGTCATGTCGAGGATGGTGCAGAGTTGTTTTCTGTTGCCCCAGAAGGGCAGGCCAGAACCAACGGGTTGAAATTAAATCAAAAGGATTTTGCCAAACATTGGGAGGAACTTCCTGACAGAGCGTTCCTCGGTGGAACAGGCTTCCTCGGGAGGTGGCAGGCGCTCCTTCTTTGGAGGTTTTCAAACAGAGGCTAAACGGCCATTTGATGGGAATGCTGATTGTGTGAACTTAGGCAGATCATGAGAGGGAGGGCAGGGAGGGTTGCCTCAGTGCCTAGTTCTTGCGGCCCTTTCTTACACGCCCAGGGAAATGCTGATCGCCACTTTGGGGACAGGAAGCCATTTTTCTCCAGGCCAGTTTGGGGGGGTCTTTTTTGCCATCTTCTGGACATGGAGCAGGGATAGGTATTTGTGAATCTCCTGCTTTGTGCAGGAGGTTGGACTAGTTGATTCTGAAGATCCCTTCCAAATCTATGATTCTATGTCCAAACTTAAACTAACTTACTTGCATCAAAATTTGAAGTTAGGGTGAGGCGAGGGGAATCAGGGATTGAACAGCCATTATGCTAAGCACTCTATAGAGGAAGGAGAATTCTCTGCTTAGCCCCAGGGTCAGCTGGCAGAAGTCCATCTAGCATCAAAGCAGGCACTAAGACGTTAGATAGCATGGCCATGCAGAACCAGAGTGTGAGGGTCTCCTTTAGCAATGAATGAGGAAAGGCAGCTGACCTGGGAGCTTTATATTGGCTACTGAATGGGCCATCTGGTGTCACCTGTTTCTCCAGGACCATGGCATTGTGGATATGGAATATATAAAAGAGGTTAACCAAGATGATCACAGGGTTGGAGCACCTTTCCTATGAGGAAAGGCTGAAGAGTCTGGGACTTTTAAGTTTAGAAAAGATATGACTAAGGGGGGACAGGATAGAGGTTTATAAAATTACACACACGGTAAAGATATGGGACAGAGAGAACTGTTTTCTCCCTCTCCCAAAATACCAGAGGGCAGTAGAACTTGTGATGGACACTAGATTTGGGAAGGAAGTCTCTGCCAGAGGATGTAATGATGGCCCCAGGAATGAACATTTTTTTAAGGGATTAGAGAAATTTATGGAGGATAAGTCTGTCAACAGCTACTAGCCATTGGTGGCCGAGGGTAACCTCCACATTCAGAGACACTAATCCTCTGAATCCCAGAGCCAGGAGGCAACATCAGGGGAAGGCCTTGGCCTCTCTGCTTTGCTGGTGAACCTCCAGAGGAACTGATTGGCGACTGTGTGAGACAGGATGTTGGACGAGATGGACCCTCACTGGTCTGATCCAGCAGGGCCGTTCTTACATTCTTATGGATAGCAGGCCTGATATGCCAGCAACTCCACCTCTAGTCAGCGGTGCCAGGGGCCCAGACACACCACTCGAGCCACAGGATTCCTCAGGGACCTGCCACCCTTCTTGAAGTGGGATTTTTCAGCATGGCGGAGTGGCAAATGCACGTTCTGCCCTTTTTTTCCTAGGATGGCACCGTGCACCTGATCTACGGCATTCTGGAGAAACCAGTCTCATCCCTCCAAGCAATCAATGTTTCGGCAGTACTCCGGAAAGGGTTGCAAAGGGTGCAGCTGCTGAAGCCAGAGATCAGCATTCCCAGACTACCTGCAGACCAGAAGACCATGGAGATAAGAGCCCCTGATGTGGTCATACCCGACCAGGAGACCACCTATTGGTGCTACATTACTGAGCTTCCTGAAGGTTTTTCAAAACATCATATTATCATGGTAAGTGGCAGAGGGAGGTGGGGCTGGCTGGCCGCTCACAAGTCCCCCGGCATTGTCTCCTCAGTTCTTGGTCACTTCAAGCCCTCATTATCACCTTGTTGCTTTTTTCTTCTTCTTCTTCTTCTTCTTCTTCTTCTTCTTCTTCTTCTTCTTCTTCTTCTTCTTCTTCTTCTTCTTCTTTTTAATTCCCCCGGAGGGGAGTTTTTTATTGTTTTTTTTTGCACTGCAAATAACTAACAGAAAAAAGGGGGGAGGGGACTACATATATGGGAGAAAGCAAAGAACCCACTACTGACTAAAAACCCAAGATAGGAGATCTTCCAGATGACTTTTTCTTCAAAATCCAGAGTCTTTCATCGCTATACTGCTAGTGAACTGTGTCAATCTTTTACCCCTTTTACCCTCCCCTTTCAAATTTTCTTGCCCAATACCGTACCCTCCCATCCTCCCCCTAGAACCAAAGTTCTCAAAGGCACAGTTCAGAGTCCTTCAGCTTTTACTTCTTTTTCTTTCTCTTCCATAACTTGTAGGGACTTTTCGGGGCTGCTGCCCCTTTCTCCGACAAAGAGTCCTCACCAGATGAACCAGTTTCTAGCTCACCACTGGACCTATCGTCCTCTTCTTTTTCCCCGTCCTCTGACCTTCCCAGCTGCTCGTTTAGAAACTCTTTAGCCTTAAGAACAGAGTCTATCTTGACTTTCTTCTCCTTGATCTTGAATGTTACTCCTTCTGGAAACAGCCATTTATATCCACACAAGTTCTTTATATTTCTTCCTGTGTTGTCTCACTTCAAATGGAATATCCTTTAGCGTTCTGACTTCATTCTCCCCCACCTTCAGTGGGGTCCCAGAAACTGCTTTCAGGATAGCATCCCTGACGTGCCTCTTCGAGAATCTTACCACTATTTCCCCAGGCAGATTATTCTTCTTTATATATCCTGAATATGACCTATAGGCCACATCCATATCGTTGAGCAATAAATCCGCTTTTATCTCTGTCACTGGGGCAAGTAAATCCCTCATAAATTCTTTAAGATTCTCCCCTTTATTTTCTGGCACTCCCTGGAAGCGAAGGACCATATTGGCTTTATCCATTTGAACTTGTAGCATCTGATTTTCCAAAGAATCAGTTTTCTTCTCCAAATTTTTCACTTTCTTCCTCACTTTCTGCATTGTTACTGCCATTTCCTTTACTTTTTCTGCATCCTGCTTCATTACTTGGATCAAGTCCATTATTTGCGTTTGCTGGGCAGTGATGTTTCTTGTAACAGTTGAAAGCTCTTTTTGCTGCGCTGTGATGTTTGCCGTCACTGCCATCATCTGTTCTTTAAAAACATTGAGCTGTTCCAGCAGAGGACGCATGACTTCAGTCATAGCCTTTGTAATCTCACTGGTCGTTTCCGGTCTCGGGGACTCTGCTTTCGCCTTTAACAGTCTCTCTTTGTCCTTGTCCCTCTTCACCGCCATATTTTCTCCGCTTGTTTACTTTTCGCAAAAGTTAAAAAGTCTCTGAATATGCGCTTATCTGTATTGCTCGATGGGTGAGTACTTTTGGGCAATCGCGTTTTCACTTTTTCCCGCTCCCCTCCCTTTTCGCTTCTCCGTTCGTGCGCATGGGAGGCGTCCCTCCCCCGCCCGCTTTACTCTCTCCGCATTGGAAGGGGAGCGTCTTTCTGTTTAAAATTCAATTCTGGGTTGACTCACGTTCATAGCTGGTCTTGTGACCCCTTTTCCTTCACCGTTTTTTGCGCTCGGTCTCCCAAGCTTGTCCCGGCCGGCTTCACTTTTACCATTCAGTCTCTCAGCAGAACGGACCACTGGAGCAAGAGGGAGCCTCAGTTCCATGGCATTCCACCATGGAAGCGGCTACCCCCTCCAAGCTCCTTGGTCAGGCGCCCTCCCCCGGGCTCCTGGGGGGGTCTACGAGCCAGCTTGCCCCCTCCATTCGCCGGAGCACGGAAACACCCCCGGAGTGTCTGGGAGGTGAGTCCGTGTTTGTGCCGCCATCAACCGGAAGTCCTGCTTCATCCTTCTTGATGTTTATCCTTTCTCTCTCATGATGTAAGTCCCGCTCTCGTTATTTCACATGGGAAGGCGCTTCTGCTTGGCCACCCAGCCTCCTTCCTTGCCTGGACTTCCATCAGCCTGCCTAATCTATCCTGCTCATTGTTATGACTGCATTTCCCCTCTTTTCTCCTCCCGACATTTGGCTCCAGTGACTCTTCTTTCAAATGTCATCAGTCTCTTGTTCCAGTTCATCTGTTTGCACGAGCCCTCTCTGTCTCTACCTCACCTCAGTCTTCTCTCTGGTCCTCCTTAAATGCAAAATTATACCTTCCATATTCTGCTTTGCCCTCTTCTCCTGTTGCTCCTCTCACCCATTAGACCCCCTCCCCTGGCTCCTTCTGTTGGTGTTCAGTGCCTCCCCTTTCTATGCTGGCATTTTCTAAGTGGTCTCATGTGCTTGCCCTCCTTTCCGCCCCTTTCCCATCCCTTTTGTGTCTTATTGAGATGCTAAACACGTGGGTGAGGCCAGGGACCTTGAGTCTGCTTTATCAGTACATCCTCTAATTGCATCAGGTGCTATAGAAGTCAGTCAGTTGCCATCCAATCAATTTTATTGGGTTATTAATTCAGCAGATAGGTCTGGCTGGGTTTCGAGGAAAATCTCCCCTGGTCGGATTCTCTAGTGATGGTAGGTTTCATCTGTTTGCTTTACTCTGTTCTGTGCAATGATCCTCTCTACCTCATATAACAAGGGAGTGTTGGTGGACCTGGCCTCCCAGCTGATTGCTGCCCCCATCCCTCCCAGCATCATTAGCGCCTTTCTCAGATATTGCACCTATCCTTTGGGAGCTGAAGCAATTCCTGTGATCCCCACAAAACACCTGGGAGCACTGGGTGCAGGATCACAGTTGCGAGTACTGTGCTGTGTCAGGCAAGCTCTGTGGAACTAGAGAGTTCTTCACTCTGATCTCAGTTTTCATTGTAATTAGCAAGATTCCAGTCCTCTTGGCTGCATGGATTGGCGTTAAAGTGATCGATGCCCAGCAAAACCTCTGAGGGTCAAGGGGAGCTGAGAGGAATTTCCAGTGGTCAGGCCACTGATCAAGGAAATATGGGCACCTTGACTTAATTGCTACAGATAGAAGAATCCAGTTTTTCTCGGCACATAATTTTTATTTTATTTTAGTGCAGAGCATATACTGTCCAACAGTTGCTTTTCAGCTTCTTTGAAATTAGTAAAAGCATAAAAATCTCCTTGGAAATCCTGATCTTTTGAGAGGGAAGAGATAGCAGTTTATCAAGCAAAACACAGAGATGTACAAGATCCCTGAGAACCAGAGTGTAAGAACGATTTCTCTCTGCATCTGTAATGCAATGGAAACAGGCAGACTTTCGCAAAAAGCTCTCTTTAGTTCCAGAAAAGCCTTTCTTCCACTCTCCATCTTGCAATAACACCACTCAGGCCTTGCTGGGTAAGACCAAAGCTCCATCTAGTCCAGTGGCAATCTGTGCCCTCTGACACAGGCGTAGGGCGGAGGGCGGGGCAGTCTGTGGCAGTGGAGCAGAGCTAATGGGTGGTGGAGCAAATAATAATAATAATACCTTTCGATTTATTGATCGCTCAATCCGGCAGAGCTGCTGGCTCTGAGCGATTTACGGTTACACAGGTTTCACACAAGGGACTAACAATTGTTTATAGGGGTAAGGGAGGACAACATATAATTCTTTAAATCGCACACATTTGCAGCCAACGGGGATTCTGTTCAGCTGTAGGCTTCAGACGTGTTCCGGACGGCATTCACTTTGGCTTGGCTTGATGACGTTGGTTCTTCCTGGGCTGCTTTTGAGTCGTAGCGCCGCACTGCCACCTCCTGGCCAGATTGGCCCATCACAGGCTTCTTAATAGTGAAGAGGTCTTTTTTCCAGGCTTCCGAGCTTCCGAGCTGGACATTCCATTCGCCAGCTAACACCTCCCCTACGAGGGTTTAGTGTGCCCACCCTCTCTAAGGAGTGGTACCCATTTTATCTACTCACCGAAGCTTTCGAACCACTGGGTGGACGGCGAGCTGGGGACAAGGCTGGTAGCTCACACCAGCATGGGCTAGAACTGACAGCAACTCTGTTCAGTTCAGATGTTAACCAGAGGATAAATGTGCCACTGCTCCCCTCCTGTGCCACTGCAAAGGGATTCTGGTTTTGTTCCCATCCCCTTCTCCTTGCAAATGATAATAAAAATGTTTAAGCACCGTAGTGCAGTCCTTCAGCATTGAACTGTGTAGGTGCCAACCTAATGTGTTTGCAAGAACAGGAGGACCACCCAGTGTAGGAAAGAAACCTTGATAGGGTATAATAGCCAAGCAGCCATTTTCTCCGGAAGAAGTGGAATAAATATTTTAAATAAATAAGTAATGAATAAATAAGTGATTTATGTAGTCTGGAGATCAGTTGTAATTCTGGGGGATCTCCAGCCCTCACCTAAAGGTTGGCAATCCTAACAGGGACTCAAAGGACGCCATAAGGGCAGCTACCGTGGTGTGTGTGCACATGTGGGGGAAAGCCCACTGCCTCTATGGGGAGATACTTGCCTGCCCTGCAGTGCTGAGTTAAACGGAGACGGGAGAGATCGACTGCATCGCTCACTACCTGCCGCTCCCTGGCCTGTCTGGTGAGGACAGTAAGGAGGTAGGCAAGAGGGGGCACCCACTGACCCATGTGCTCTAATGGACCAGCCTTCGCTGATCTAGCCTTAACATCTGAATTCCAAAGGAAGCAACGATGAATGTCCTGGGAAGCCCATCAACAGGGCACATAGCCAACAGCCTTCCCCCACGGAGATTCCATTTAACGCACATGGCTAATAGAAGAAGAAGAGATTGGATTTATACCCCGCCCTTCACTACCCAAGGGAGTCTCAGAGTGGCTTGCAAACTCCTTTCCCTTCCCCTCCCCACAACAGACACCCTGTGAGGCAGGTGGGGCTGAGAGAGCTCTTGACAGAAATGGCTCTTTTTTCAAGGACAGCTCTTATCAGAACTAAGGCTTGCCCAAGGTCATCCAGCCAGGTGCAAGTGGAGGAGTGGGGAATCAAACCCGGTTCTCCCAGATTAGAGTCCGCGCTCTTAACCGCGACACCAAACTGGCTCTCAAACTGGTAATAGCTGCTTGTAGGCCTACATGTGCACTGAAAAATAGCTAAACAAAATCTAAATCAAATCCCCTTGTGTTCATATAGTAATCCAGTCATTTAATACAGCTGTCAGTAGTCTCCAGAAATTACTATTCTTCTGGTACCTCTCTGTCTGCTGTGCACAAGGTGATGGAAGAGAAGCAGGAGGGGGAGAGACTGAGTCCCAGGTAAGCTAACTGACAAGGGCATGGTCCAGCTGGAAGACATAGGCTGCGGTCACATGGAGCATTAGCCACGCTACAGAGACGGAAGATAGGCAGATTTTCCAGGCACGATCACAGCACCACATCTGGGAAGCGTAGAGCTCCCGTGCCGAACCCGAGGCTTCCCACCAAAGTTGTGGGGTAAAAAACTAGTACCTCTGAGGTACTAGTTTCCGGAAACCGCGGGACAAGGGCGGGCGCCTGATCGCGTTTCCGGTGGAATCCCATGGCATCTGGCGCCCGCCCATGTCCCGTCGCGAACAGGTTTTTTTTTCAAGTCTCCACAGGATGCGCACAAGTGCCCAACGGTGCATGCGCACAAAAAGGCCCCCTCCCACTGCAGCCAGGCTTGCCGCCTCTGGAGGGTCGCTATGGCCACTGTCACGCAGGCGGTTGGAGTGGCTGTGACGAGGGGGCCCACCTCCCCCTCCATTGGCTATGCCTCGGAGCTCTGTTGGGGTCCGGAAGCGTCTGTCACCCTCTCCGGTAAGCCCACCACCCGCCTTCGGATGTGCAGATACGATCGCTCAGTCATGCGTATGCACAAACTTCAGTTTTTTAAAAAAAATCCATCCCATTTGCCACGGAAGCGGTGCCTAGTGATTGCTGGTGTGATCGCACCGCGCCGCTTCTTTGCCGCGCTGCAGGATGGTCGTGTGATTGGCACCTCCCCCCTAAACACGGGACCTTGACGGGACCTCGACGGGACGTCTGATCGCGCAACCGTACATTATTTTGCTCCGGGGCAAACAGCCACGCTCCCCCCCACATTTTCCTGCCCACGTGACCGGGGCCCTAGTTGATATATCAACCAAAGAGGACTGTTGCCCTAGCTGCATCTATGCACAATGTTTCCACTGCCCTTTCATCATTGCAGAGGGTTTCCTTGGTTCTATAACAGGTAAAGAGAAATGAGTTCTGTTTGGCTGCAGTTCCATTATCTCCTCTGTTGGCACCACACTGGCCTGCTTGGTTGGGCTGTGTGAAAGCAGGTGCTGCAGACTGGGCCGGTGGAGGAGAGCATAGAAGGAGCCAGGTGTATGCAGGGAGAAGGCAGCAACAAACGCGCTTGCAACCCCTGGAAGCCAGGCAGGCTGCTGCAGAGAAGATGGGGGGCATCCTCTCTCCACACCATTAATGATTTGGTGGGGGGGGGGTAGAAGCAAATCCTCCTCCCAGACACACTGAAAGACAGGGCCAGGGCTGATTCAGATGAGATTCAAGAGATCTCTGATGAGAAAAGGTCTTACATCTCTTCCCATGAGAGGTCAGTAACAATGGGAAAGTGGTTGTGCCCTCTCACGTTGCACACAGCCCCCCCTTTCCTCAGTTGCCCCCCCCCACACACAGAGAGAGCTGTGCTCCCTCCCCTGTGTCTGTTGGGTGGAAAGGACAGGCAACCTCTCCTTCATATGTAAAGAAAGGAAGGTGGGCAGGTGCTATTTTTAAGCAATGCAATGGGAATGAGGGGAGTTAACCCCCTTGCTACGGCCTGTGCCTCACAACAGTGGCTGAAGCTTTACAAAGTCCAGCTAGGGCAGCTAGGCTGGGAGACAAACACTGGAATCAATGGTGTGTGCTGGTGGGTGGCAAGGGGTGGGGGCTGGGTCTACCTCCCCTCACCCCTGTTTCCATTTTGGCATTCAAATAGACTCTCCAGGCAAAGGAGGGGAACATTTGTGTGTGTGCCAGTTCACGACTACCTGTGCCCACTCTGCTCGTGAGAATGTTAAAGGTCTGTAAAACGGGGGCTTTTTCTTTATCTGCCTGAAATTTGTCCGGGAGCATGCAGAGGGTGCAGGCCCAGATAATTTTGTCCCAGTTTGATGGGAGAGTGGGAACCCTTACTGCCAGAAATGTGTTTCCCACTGAAATCGATGTAATGAAAATCCACTATAATTAAGAACTGGACCAAGAGTAATCGAGATAAAGATTTTTTTAAAAAAAAGCAAAATGAACCAAAAATGAACCAAATAACATTTCTGTGCATGTACTTCTCATCCGCCATGGATTTGTTCTACCATTTTACAAAAACATTCTCAATCACTTATCATGTGTGGAATAGAGAAGTCTGTCCTTTGTTGGTCTTAGACCTCCTGCGGTCAGCTCTGAGTAACCCTGAGTTATGGGGGGGGGCGATACCTTTTCTCTCCATGCCATTCACAGTTTTGCAAGTTTCTCTCTTGTCACAACATTCTTTCAGTAATCCTTAAGACAAATGGGCCTCAGCCATGGCAGGATGAGACTGAAATGTGAGAAATGAACGAATGACGGGCCATTCCAGCACAAACCGCTGAGCCATCAGCTGTGGAGAGCTGCTGCGTGTCCAGCCCTGCCGCCTCGCCTGTCGGAAGTGAGGGAGAGCAAAGTGGTGATGCAGCAGATTTGAAAATCAGGGCCGCCCCCAGGACAGCTGCTCCCCAAGTGGCTAGAAGGCAAGGTGCAGACGGGTGGGAGGGCGCGCCAGGCAAAGAGAGGCCCCTCAGAGCAACTCCCGTTCCCGCTGGCATTCATTAGGGCTGGCAACTTGCCTTGGCACTTTCACATCACTGGTAATTAGCGCTGCTAATGAAGAGCAGCGGGCTCTCAGGCTCATCCCTGGTGCAGCGGGTGGCAGCTGAGACAGGCATCTGTAGCCAGCGGGCACAGGATCTCCCAGCCATGAGCACACCTGCCCAGTGAGCTTCTAGCAGACCCAAGTTCCTCTGGCCTGCTTCTGTGGGGGAGCTTCCTTACTTAGCTGGTCATTGCACAGAGCTGGGTGGGGTACACAGTCTGAATCCGCATCTGACATTTCTCAGGACTAGTTGGGGTGAGCACTGATTGAATAGTGCCTGTAACATCAAGAACACACTTGCAACATGTCTCTGGAACAGTTTTGGACGTGTACATACATGAAACAGCCTTAGATTGAACCAGATCTTTGGTTTATTCAGGTCAGTCTTGTCTACTCAGATTGGCAGCGGCTGTCCAGGGTCTCAGGTGGCGGTCTTTCACATCACCCCCCAACTGATCCTTTTAACTGGAGGTACTAGATATTGAACCCCGGGACCTTCTGCATGCAAAGCAGAGGCTCTTCCAATGATCCCCAGCCCCTCCTGTTTTGCCACTGTCTTGAAAAGTTTGCCTTAAGTAGGTTGAATGCAGATGGCATAAGCAAGAAATCACCCACTTTTCAGAAGTCGTTCAGGCGGGGGAAGGGTTCGATTTGCTGACATGTACAACTTCCCAGTGCAGGCTGTGAAGCCAAGTACATCTTGCAGGTGGAGAGAACCTGCCCCATCTTCGTTCAGAGGCTAATCCAGCTTGAAGAAGTGTGAGGACTGCCAGAGCACAACTGAAGGACCTCAAAAATACCTGTAGCCACCATGCCTTCCTCCTCTTGTTCACCTTTTCAGTATGAAGCAGTAATCACAGAGGGAAACGAAGCTCTCGTCCACCACATGGAGGTCTTCCAGTGTGCCACACAGTTTGACACCTTCCCTCATTACAGTGGGCCCTGCGACTCCAAGATGAAGCCGGAGCGCCTGAACTACTGCAGACACGTGCTGGCCGCTTGGGCCATGGGAGCTCAGGTGCGTCCACCACAAATGGTCACCCCTCTTATTGTTAACAGCCCTTTCTGTCACCCTCCCCCCACCCTTCCAGTTTTTCCATGTCTCTTTCCTAGGGAAATGAAGTAGCCGATAGCTTTGATCTGTTGTGGGGAGGGGAAGGGAAAGGAGTTTGTAAGCCGCTCTGAGACTCCTTTGGGTAGTGAAGGGCCATGGGGTATAAATCCAGTCTCTTCTATTCTTCTTCTTCTTCTTCTTCTTCATTGAGAATAACACCTCCTTTTCTCTGGCGGGAAATACATGCCCAACACCTAATTGGTTCTAAGCTAACTAGCTAAGAATTAGCATATATAAGCAAGCAGGTTAATTCTTTCATGACCGTAATGTGACATTTGCAATATCCCAACAAGGACAGATTTGGCCAACTGTTCCACTGGCTTTCCCTTTACAGGCTTTTTACTATCCGGAAGAAGCAGGACTTGCATTTGGAGGTCCCAGTTCCTCCAGGTTTCTCCGCCTGGAAGTTCACTACCACAATCCCCTGGGACTCAAAGGTAAGCCAGATCTACCTCAATGACAGCACAGACATCTCCCTCAGCTGAGCTGGGAAGGAAAGACAGGGCAAGGGGACAACCTGGAGGACAAAGGGGGCAGCAGCTAGGGATGAGAACCCTGCAGGGACGGGGCAGCCATTGGCAAGACAGAACGTGCTGCTCCAAAGGAGTTACAGCCTGGACTGCTTGGAGTGGGAAGGGGGAATGCCCAGGTCTGCCCCCCCCAACATTTTTGAGCCTGTGGGCACCAATGGAAGCCTGACACTGTGGTGGGCGCAGCCACAAAATGGCTGCAGCAGGAGGTGGAGGCAGGCACAAAATGGCTGCCACGGCTCCCCTTCAGTCACACAGGGAAGATTCTCATGCTGTGGCGGCAGCTGCTGCTGAAGCAACATTTCTAAAAAGCTGCACAGCCAATCAGATCTCCAGTGGCCAGTCAGAAGCCTTCCTGGGAAAAGCCCCGCCGGGAAAAGCCCCTGCTCATTTCCAGAAAGCACTGGACGGGTGCCAGGAAAGGCATTGGCTCATGCTGTGGCACCCCTGGTCCAGATGCCTCGCTAGACTGTGGGATCGGGGATCCGGAGCGTTCAAGGGCAGGGGAGGGCTGGGGGTGGCTTGGGAGAGCTTTGCAGGGAAATGGGGAGAGGAAGGGCTGAAGGCCAAAGGCTCCACCTTAAAGGAAGCCAGGAGAGGTCCTCCCTGTTGTGGGGTCCTTCTGAAAGGGGATTTCTGAGGAAAGGAGGATCTAGAAGGCATGCAGTGCCAACGTCTGCTGGCCATAATTCCCTCTGGTAAAGTTCCTATGCTCGTGGAATCCGGGAGGTGAAACTTTCCTGCAGTGGGAAAGGTGTGTGTGCACTTGGGGGGAGGGGAGGCTTCATTGATTGAATTTCTGACCACCAGGCAGCTGCTAGTCTTGCCAGGGAAGTTGGCAGCCTTTGGACTGAGAGAAAATCTCTCTCATCCCCTGTGAGTGGGGTCCTCGGCTCACAGAGGCAAAATGTCTCTGGAGAAACGTTTCTCCTACACATCTCCCCAAACCCTGGGCAGCTGCCGCTGCATCCTCACCCTTCCTCTGGCTGCTGGTGCACAGGAGAGCTTGCAGTGGTGGAGACCAGGTCGTGTCTTTCCAAGCAACAGGCCAGGAGCTGGAATTCTCCATTTCACTCCTTTTTGACAAGGGCAGGTCTTCGAAAAGTGAAGAAGGAAACACAGGGCAGCCACATTTACACAGATTGAAAACTGCCGGCTCCTTGACTCTCCAGGAATATTTTTAGCCTGTTGGAGCATATGTGGTGCTGCTGTTCAATCTTGTCACACCCAAAGTGTTGGGAAGCAGCTCAGCTATAAATAATGGGGCTTGGGGCTTTCACTTCAACCCACAACACCTCCTTGGCTATTCTTATATCCATTTCATGTGCCCAACCAGGAGACATCATTAAAATAGTTAGAAATTCTGACCCCCTAAAGAGGGGGCAGGTTCAGAGCACTGGTCCTTCCCTGGCTCAGAGCATTCCCAGCTGCAGAAGCAAGCTGTGGGCTGGGGTGACGTGGTGCAGGGCAAAGTTATAGGAGGTGCCATGTGCAATCGTAGGGGGATCCTGAGCAAAACTCTCAAACTGCACACAGCTGCACACACTGTTAACTTGATTTTATGGAAGAGGAGCTACATTTTGAGAAGGGAGACACACACACACACACACACAGAGCACACACGAGCACATGACACTGCCTTCTACTGAATCAGACCCTTGGTCCATCAGGGTCAGTGCTGTCTACGCAGCTCTCCAGGGTCTCAAGGCAGAAGTCTTTCACATCACCTGCTACTTGATCCTTTGAGCCGGAGATGCTGGGGATTGAACCAGGAGCCTTCTGCATGACAAGCAGATGCTCTGCCACTAAGCCATAGCCAGTGGCCAGTGAGAAGCCCCTGTATGGCAGCAGTGGAAGTTAAGATGGTACAGGTAGCTGCAGTTTACTGGCTTAAGGGTTAGAGGAGGCACAGGAGTCAACAGGTGCTGCTTCGCCTACCAATGCTGTTCTGTGACAAGAAAAGGGGACTCTTCAGGTCTCATCTTTCTCACAGTACAAGAACTGGTGGGCACTCAATGAAATTAATGACGAGGAGGCTTAGAAGAGAGAGAAAAGGAAGTAATTCTTCGCCCAAAGAGTCATTAACACATGGAAATCAATGCCTCAGGAAGTGGCGACGGCTATACAGGAAGTGGTGGTGGCGACAAGCATGGACGGCTTCAAGAGGGGGTTGGATAGATATATAGAGCAGAGGTCCATCAGTGGGTCTTAGCCATAAGGTATAGATGGAACTCTATGTCTGGGCAGCGATGCTCTGCATTCTTGGTGCTTGGGGGGGCACAGTGGGAGGGCTTCCAGAGTTCTGGCCCTGCTGGTGGGCCTCCTGATGGCACCTGGGTTTTGACCACTGTGTGACACAGAGTGTTGGACTGGATGGGCAATTGGCCCGATCCAGCATGTTCTTAGCCTGTGAAGGAGAACTTCTTGGGATCTGGCATGGTTGTGTGTGTGTTGGTGTTGTGTAGTGGGAGGAAAGCGCTGCTGGCTGTTGCTAGCTTTCAGGTCCCTCTCTCTCCCAGACCGGATCAATTTGCAGAATATTGGTACCCAGAGGGGCCATTATGCTGCAGTGACATTTCAAACTGACTCAGACTATGCCAGGAAAGCATCTTCCACTCGGATCCACTGCTAATTACAGCCTTGGGCAGAAAAAGATGTTACATTACCTGATAAAGTCTGCACACCGCATAATCCTGAAATTTGGTTTGTAATGTGCTTTTCTTTCTCTCTTTTTAAACCTAAATCAGACTCAAAAAACCCAAATCCAGTAAGCCCCTGATTTAACTTAAAAATAGGAATGCACGAGAGAGAGAGAGGAAGGAAGGAAGGAAGGAGGGAAGGAAGGAAGGAAGGAAGGAAGGAAGGAAGGAAGGAAGGAAAAATTCAACAGCAGTTCTTTAAAAAAAAAACCTTTGCTTCAGTTGCTATAATATCAGAATGAAAGCAATCAGGCAGTCATTTCCATTGGTTTCAGTGGGAAATACTTTTCCATGTGCAATTCCATCCCATCCGGACAGGATGACATTCTCAGGGACTGTATCCCTCACCCTCGAAATCCATTGTGCCCCATTTCAGACAGCTAGGAGCAAGCATCCAAGTTGTACAGACAATTAAATTGCTTCTTTGTAGAGTAGACACAGAAGGGCCTGAGTGGGTGTTTTGCCTTTCCCAGAATGCTCCAGTGGCAGTGGGGGTTGCCTGTTTGTTCTCCAAAGGGGAGCACACACAGGAGAGGCAAACCTTATTTCCATCCTTGCTATGCTGTGTTGCTTTCAGCATTTTTCTCCCAGACCAGCTGGGAGCTGGCCTCAGCTGGGAGGGTGGGGTAGAAATTCAATCTATCAAGCAATCCGTGTGCCACCGTTATTGGGAGACAAATGCTTACAGCCCTGCAGGAAGGCACGGCTTCCCAGGCTGCCCTGCTCCATTGGTGCTGCTGGTTTCCCCCTTGTCTCTCTTTCTTTGGCTGTCTTTTTCTCATAGCAGCTGCGGTAGAGGACAGTTTGAAGGGGAAATGGTGTGGCTGGTACTTTCGGTGCCTTTATGTGAAACAGAAAACAATGTTGTGACAGGTCTCAGAAATGTTGCCCTCTTCGTCCCTGATCTCTCATACAGAGGGAGAACCCAGACCCTTCTTCATCAGAGGTTTTTAGCCTTCTGTCTCATTTAGCGGGTTCTACTTGCCTCGCCACCCACTCTATTTGGCCTGCCTGTGTGCAAACAACCCCTTTGCCTCTCTCTCACATGAACAAACATGAAACTGTCTTATAGGTCCATCAAGGCCAGTATTGTCTACTCAGACTGGCAGCAGCTCTCCAGGGTCTCAAGCAGAGAAGAGCTTTCACATCACGTACTGCCTGGTTCTTTTTAACTGGAGACGCCAAGCAGATGCTCTGCCACTAAGCTATAGTCCCTCCCCTGTAGGCACCCTGCTGTGCTTACCATGGGGAGGGGGAATCTAGTGGAGTATATCTCTTATTTTTCTGAGCACTCCCTACCAGTGCTCAAGTAGGTGGATTACTATCACATGGGATGTGGTGGGAGATTTACTGTAGCTTCCTCTGACTTTGCCTCTCCCAGCTTGCCTTCTGTGGAAGGAGTCTGAATCTCTCCTTCTGTTCCCCCATAGCCCTCCTTGCCTGTCAGTGGGTACAAGCAGTGGTCGTTTTGTAGAAAAAGAGCTAGGGGAACTCATTAGCATAACTCATTAGCATATGCCACACCCCCTGACATCACCGGAAGTGTGTCATAAGGCCACACACCCCAACCCCAACGGTCCTGGCCGCCGCCGGCCTTGCAGCTCCACTGCCGAGCCCCATGAGGGGCCCGGCGGTGGACCTGCAAGGCTGGCGGGACTGCAAGGAAGCCCCGCGAAGGCCCTCCCTGGCCCCAGGCAGGCAGGGGTGGGGAGAGGCAGGGAGGAAGCAACTTACCCTCCCTCTTCTCCTGCCTCCTCCTGGCTGAATGAGGGCCGGAAGCAGGGGGCGGGGCTTCGTCATGTGCCCCGCCCCCGTACCTCACCCGGGGGAACTGCGATCCCCCACGTTCACCCCCCGAAATGACCTCTGGGTACAAGCAATGCTTTCCCCCTTTAACTAGGAGGCAAGTGGTGCTGCAGTGAATGGAGTATCTCACTTGAACAGGACTCCTGCTTAGGTCAAGGGATTGGTGAACAATGGAAACACTGCATAGGGAACTGGGTAGCACAGGCAGAGGTTTCCCACAAAATAATAGGGGAAGAGGAGAAAGAGCAGGAGGAACAGCAGAGGCTGGGAGGAAAGGCCGCTTGGCTTTAGAAGGGAGAGTAAGGGAAAGCTGCCTTAGGGTTGCCAACTCTAGGTTGCGAAATTCCTGGAGATTTGGGGTGGAGCCTGAGAAGGAAGGGAGTTTGGGAAGGGGAGGGGGCTCAGCAGGGGTGTGAAGCCGTGAAGGACCTGCCATTTGGATCTGCCATTTGGATCTGCTCTGGACCTGCCATTTGGATCTGCTCTGGACCTGCCATTTTCCCCAGGGGAACTGATCTCTGTGGCCTGGAGACCAGTTGCAAATCTGGGAGATCTCCAGGCTGCCCCAGCTGGAGGTTGGCAATCCCATGCTGCCTGCATGAAGGAGCACCTAGGCCACACTCATGCTGTTGCCTGGATCTGCATAAAAGTACACAACCCATTGGCCTGAGTTTCTGGTATCACTGGAACTCTGGCGAGGGGAGACCAGAAAGAGGCAGCATGCCATGGTTCACCTGGACCCACTGAATTCTAAATGTTGTCCATAGACCTACCTGTTAAGAATGAAATGGAGGCAGCATGGCATGGTCCAATCCTGTCCCGGCAAGTATCGTGCAGCTCTCTAGATTTATCTGCTTGCTTGCCAGGCCACCGTGACTCTTCAGGGATCCGGCTCTATTACACGGCCTCTCTCCGCCCTCACGATGCTGGCATCATGGAACTGGGCCTGGTGTACACTCCGGTGATGGCGATCCCACCTGGCGAAAGCCACTTCTACCTGACAGGGTACTGCACTGATAAATGCACTCAGTTGGTGAGTACGTACAGCAGAAGAAAGCACCTGCAATAGGCACTGTCAGCTTCCCACATGGGCATGTTCTCTCTTCTGTAGCCACATGTGTTAGCCAAATTGCCTTTTATTTATATATATATAATGTGGGGAATTATATATGTGTGTGTGTGTGTGTGTAATTATGACTATTGAATGGCAAAAGGCATTAATTATAGGATCATAACCTGTGTTTACGGGAATCAGAGTTCCCTGGACCCAGGAATAGACGCTGAGGCTGTATAGCTAAAATAGTGATTTCTTTACTAAAGGTTCTTCAAGCATACAAACAAAAATTCATACACTCAATACAGGGCTAAGAATATGGAGTTGAAAGGATAGACACATTTGCATGAGCAGGATTATTGTTGGTGGGCTGATGCTTTACCTGTCTGATGAGACACTTGGATCATGCAGCAAAAAATGGGACACAATGAGGGGGAAGCATCACATGTGGACTGATTCCAAACAGGCCTAGATTTGGAACCAATAAGATAGGGTGGGGGTAGGAGAGGCAAGAGCAAGAGAGCGAACAATGGCACAAAGCCCATCTTTTATACCCAAAAATGTGACCTGAGGTGGGCTGCTTTGGACACCTGGTCCCCAGGAGATATTAAGAAAACTTACAACTATGAATGGAGATTAATGGCTGGGCAATTGCAGGTCATGACTTGGCTAGGAGTGACACCTCTTAGGAGAAAGGGGTGGACAAAGGAAAGAAGGGAGAGAACCAATCAGGTTGCAGGACCGGTGCTTTGGATTTACAACCAGATGTTTGACAGCTGCATTATCTTGATGGGTAGCAGGAAGACTTGATGGTTTGCTGGACACCTCTGCAGAGGTTGTTGTAGTAGAGGAGTTAGGTTTGGGTTGCTGCGGTGGATCAGAGTCTGGGTGCAGGGCCGCGGAATGCCTGTTGCTGTGGCACTCACGGCACTTGATGACAGCTGTGCAGTCCTTAGCCATGTGATCCATGGACTCACAACACTTGAAGCAGAGGTGGTAGCCTCTCCTCCAAGGACTTGCCTCTGAACACCCTACCCTTGTTCAGCGGGTGTGGCTTCTTGTGAAGTGGACAAAAAGGTTCTGTAGGCTTCGACACCTCTGCTGGTTTTGTTGCACTTGATACCTCTGTCTTGCACACAGACACTTCCATCTTGGCACTTGCATCTGGAAAAGAACAATAAAACTCCTATCTTTGTGCCTCTGAGCTCAGGAAATTACTCTTAATGAGCCAGTCAGAGGGAAGCTTCTGGGACCACTAACTGTGAACTACAATTCCCAGGTGCAACAAGTCTTAAAGATACAGAACAGTTTTACTAAACTACAGATAACGCTGACTGGGGGCAGCACAGGTTCGCTATTGTTGTTGCTGGGCACATCCTTTTGTCTTAGGCTGGGGAGGAATGTGTGCTTCTCCTGGTGATACTAATATGTGAAGGTGGGGGTGGGGGAATGCCTGTGTGATGAAGAAGGGAGTTTTTCATGGCATCTGTGCAGGAACATCTTGTCCTTTTTGCAGAGCAGGGCCTCCCTGATCTGCTGCTGTTTCTGCGTGCATGGAGATCAGGGCTGCTGGTCTGCATTCTGGTGCTGGCTTGGCATGCTACTTAGGCACGAGGCTCCCCTTGGCCAAAGCACATCCCTCTAGTCCAGTATGAGGGCACTGCTCTTGGGCCACTGTACTGTCCATTGTCCTGACCAGTGTTCCCTCTAAGCTGAGTTAGTGTGAGCCAGCTCACAGTTTTTTAGCCTCCAGCTCACACATTTTTGTCTTAGCTCAGGAAGGATGGCTCCAGAGCAAACTAATTTATGCAGCAGCCAAATTGCTTGCTCACAACTTTAATGCCAGTAGCTCACAAAGTAGAATTTCCGCTCACAAGACTCCACAGCTTAGAGGGAACATTGGTCCCGACACACTCTTTTCACAGTTCAGCAAAGCAGTCATTTTTAAGTGTCTTTAATAATGCCGTCTGAAGTGGCTGCATGGCAACACATGGGTATCAGGGCAGGGGGTCCATGGCTCAGTTCTGGGGGGGGGGAGAGCTAAATCTGGGGAAAGGGCATGGCCAAAGCTGGGACTAAAAAGGAAAAGCTCAAAAATTAGCCAAGAAAAATAGATCTTTCTTATAGACATTAGAAATAAATTTACTATAGTTCACTAGAGAACACCATTTAGAAGAAAAATATTCAGTGTACACGTTGCTAAAATTCTTCATTGAATGTATTACTTTTAATTGGTGCCTCCTTCAGCATTGGTGTAAGCTTGGGCTGGGGGTTTGAGCCCCCACACAAATTTCCTCCTTCCCCTTGTAATGATGACAGCTGTTAATGGCAGTGTGATTAACTATACCAGCTGGACTCAAGGAATTACATACAAGATATTTCAAATTACAAAGTATTTTAAAATAATCAACCTAGTAGTAACTTACACTAAATTCAGATAGGACGCTGATCTCAGTTAACATTCAGGCTCAAAATATGCTGCTATGTTTCTAATGGATCCCGGGTGTTCCTCGGCCCTCCAAAGGACACGCAGGCACTTATGGCCTTATGACACACTTCCGGTGATGTCAGGGGGTGTGGCCTTATGACACACTTCCGGTGATGTCAGGGGGTGTGGCATATGCTAATGAGTTATGCTAATGAGTTCCCCTAGCTCTTTTTCTACGAAATGACCCCTGGAGCTACGTCTGGGTCTCTGTCCACCTTTAGGGCCTCTGAGTTGGACACCAGCTCAGACCCTCGCAACCTGTCTTCTGGGCAAGAAAGAGCTGCATGCGCAGGAAAGCTGTGCCCAGCAGGCACGGACAGGAAGGTGCTCACAATCGCTTGCTGGCTCTTCCTCCCCTCCCCCCCAAGACAACAACATATGACCACTGCATTCTATTTTCTCCATACCGCCATTATCCTCCACAAATCTGAACAGCCTCTTTTAAAAGGCCATCCGAGCCAGAGACCATCACTACATCTGGTGACCAGGAGTTCCATAAGCTAAAGGGAAAACACACAAGCAGTAGTCTACCTAGTTATTTAAGTGGAAATGAATCCGTTCCCCACCGCCTTCCGTTTTTCCATTACAGAGGTACCAGGATGCTCTGCAAGTGATTAGCACCTGACACTATTGAAATTTAAAATTTTATTTTAAAATTACAATTATTTAATAAAACAACACATAAAGAGATAGATGTTTAGGTTTTTACCATTTTGCATGAGGTTTGGCTTCTGCGACTTGGTTTCAAACTGCCTTTCAGGGAATTGAATGCCTTGGTTGTGAACGCTGGCAACCGTGTCGGTCCTCTTTTGTCCCGCTCCCGCTCCCTCTCTCTGCTAGGCTTTGCCTCCCGATGGGATTCATATCTTTGCCTCCCAACTGCACACCCACCTGACGGGCAGGAGCGTGGTGACGGTGCTGTCCCGTGAAGGGAGAGAAGAGGAAATCGTGAATGTGGATCGACATTACAGCCCCCACTTCCAGGTAGGTGGCATTTGAGTCCAAGGGCTGTCTATCATTTAAGGTTGTTGTCTCTCCCCCCCCCCAAGCTCTAAAGCTGCCTTTGAATGGAGGAACTGGTTTCATTTAAATACATCTGCATATTACCTAACCCTCCATGCAGGTGTCTTTTTGAGCTACTGAATGTAAGATAACATACAAACCTACCAGTAAAGTTCTCTCTGGGTGGACGTTAAGAGATCATAGTCAACAGCATAGTCGAATGCTGTTATGAAATCCAATAACAACAGCAGTGCCGACCTGCCTTGATCCAACTGCCGATGGAGATTGTCCGTCAGGGTGACCAACACCGTCTCCATCCCATGGCCGGGGCGGAAGCCGAACTGGAATGGATTCAATGCCGATGCGTCATCCAGGAAGCCTTGGAGCTGCTCAGTGGCTGCTCCCTCAATTACCTTGCCCAGAAATAATATATTTGAAACAGGGGAGTAATTGGCAGGATCAGAAGGATGCAGAGAAGGTTTTTTCAAGAGCGGTACAACCACGGCCTCCTTGAGACCCTCTGGATATACCCTAATTTCCAGGGACAGATTGACAGTGTCACTCAGAGGGCCCCGTATCCTCTCATCACCGGCTTTCACCAGCCGTGAGGGACATGGATCTAGGAGGCACATGGTTGGCCTGAAAGCACCCAGGATCCCGACGACATCGGCAGAGGAGAGCAGGCTGAAGGTATCAAAAACTGGATCCAAAGGCAGCCAAGGGGCCTCCAGTTCACATACTGTATCAATATTGGTGGGTAGTGTTGGATTCTCTGGACTTGGTACTGCCAGGGAACCACAGAAAGTAGCAGAACGCTCAAGGCTGTAACGCAGCAGAGCTGGGGCTAGGGGTGGCGACGGACTTACAAAGTTACACGGAGTTAGAAATCAGTTCTAAGACTAATAAACAACTTTTATTAAAGGAAATACATGCTTGAGAGTGCAGGTGAGAGATATAGTTTACCTATTCTAACTAACTAGATAGTGCTGGACGCTGGAGGCATGCCCAGCCTCCATGGTGCAAGATGGAGAGACCATGCACCTTCTTTGTGTGTGTGCGAGCAAGAGAGGAGTGAGAGAGCGGAAGCAGAGGGAATTGCCCCTAAGAGTAGCATTCAACTTCAAAGGAAAGGATCAGATAGCAGGAAGAAAAGGATGCTCTATGTGTCCTGACCGCTAAATTCTTTGGTGCCATCTTCTCAAGTTTGAGACAGGAGACAGCATAAAACCCTCCACTTCTAACAAGTAGGTCATGGCGGAGTGACAGGACTTTATTTGCAAAAAAGATCGCAAATGCCTCACCACCAATAACCGAATTTCTACTATTTTGGTTCCCCTTTGTGAGGGATGCCTGTCAGTGACCTAATCACCCTAAACAATTGTGCTGGGTGTGAGCTCGCGGACACAATGGAGGTTGAGTAGAATTCCCTTTTCACAGCCTTCACTGCCACCTCACAGGATTTCATAAGTGTCCTACAGGATGTTCTTGTAGCTTTCTTGTGAACCCGCCACCAAACTTGCTCAAGTCATCTGAGTTCTCGTTTCATCCCCCTGAGTTCTGAGAGATATCGGGAGGGGGGGGGTATACCGTCGTCTACGAGAGTGCAGAGGATGTGTGTGGGGGGATCTCATCGATGGCTCTGAGAGATATCGGGAGCCAGTCCTCTATCAGCTCATCTGGAGCTGCGGTGGCTCAAGTGGTTAAGATGCTGAACTGCAGGCTGTGGAAGGTCAGTAGTTCAGCAGTTGAAGACCCGGGTGCCGCAAGACAGGGTGAGCCCCTGTCTCTAGTTCCAGCTCCTGCCAACCTAGCAGTTCGAAAGCAAGACATTGCAAGTAGATAAATAGGTACCACTTCGGTGGGAAGGTAACAGCGTTCCGTGTGCCTTGGTGTTTAGTCATGCCGGCCACATGACCACGGAAACGTCTTCGGACAGCGCTGGCTCTTCGGCTTTGAAACGGAGATGAGCACCGCAACCCTAGAGTCGGATTCGACTGGCTTTCGAGCAAGGGAACCTTTACCTTTACCTTTATCAGCTCATCTAATGAGGCACTGGAAGGCTTCAGTTCACGTAGAGCATTCCGGAATCCAATTGGATCCATTAGGCTCTGCGGGCGAGCATAAGTTAGCTCGCTAGCCTTCTGTGCCTCTTCCCCAGTCCTACTGATTGGCCTTCTGGCTTTTGTTTTATTTCAGGAGATCCGCATGTTAAGAAAGATTGTGACCGTTTTGCCGGTAAGTGCTCCATTCACTCCTGTGGGGTGCTCTGTTTAAGCTGTCACTGGTGCTTCACTGGTGAAGACTTTGCTTTTCGTATTTGATAGATCAGTCTTGTAGAGAGACGATCTGGATTCATCAGAATGAATATGAACTGTTGCTGTCTTTTGCCAAAAGAAGGAAACCAGACATTTGATAAGGCATAGGCCAGGGGCCAGGAGTAGGGCTGGATCCTTGCTTGGCGTTACCTGCGTGGGAGGAGGAGAAAGGGGAGCAGGGAGACTTCATGGCCTCCTGGAAAAATGCCAATGGGAGCTGATCCAAGCCTTTGCAGGTAGTGTTGCCAACCTCCAGGTGGAGCCTGGAGATCTCCTAGAATTACAACTGGTGTCCCGATGATGGAAATCAGCTCCCCTAGAGAAAATGGCTGCCTTGGTGGAGGAGGAGGGGGGGAGGATATGGCATTATACACTGCTGGCATTATTCAATTATGTTCACTACACTGCTGTATAATAAAATAGTAATAGAAGGCAAAAACAAGTGTAGTTAACAGACTCACCAATTACAACCTGCCAAGAAGCTGAAGAACACGTAATAGAGAGTAATGTATACAAAGTAGCTACAGTGAAAAAGTACAAAATGTAAACAGTAGAGAACTGGTATGTGCTACAATGTCTAAACAATGGAGAACTACTAAATAATTCCACGTTGTGTCCAGATGTTTCATAACACTGTTTCAAAGTTCATCCTTCATCAGGGTGTTCCCTTTAAGCTGCTGTGGTTTTCATACTGACATGCATTGGGAACAGTAACAATTCAATACAAAATCAGACGCCAATCTCCAACATGTAATCAGCTTCAATAGCTTCAGACTTGCAGCAGGACCAGCAGCGTCTCAAGCCCTCAAAATCTCCAGGAGTTTTCCCATCCAGCATTGGCAACCCTAGTTGCAGTGGAGCTCGGCATCCGTCCCCAGGAGGCACCGTGGCGGTTTGGGTGGGAAAAATACCTCCAGCCCGCTCTGCTGATTGGAGCCTCTGAGATGTAACTTAATTGCAAAAAAGATTTGAATGGGTGCTCCAGGGGTGGGAGCTTTTTTAAAAAAAGATCTGTTTGGATTGATCTTCAGGGGGCTCTGATCTGTTTGTGACTCTGTTTTTCAGAAGTACTGACAAAACAACATACAGCAATGTCCAAGGTGTAAACAGGATTAAAAGCAACAACCTTGCCCTGAAAAATGAGAGTGCCTTTCTCAATAACAGGCAAAAGGCACCCACTTTTCTTGATCGTTTTTTTCCTTATAAGATTATCCATATCGGCTTTCTAGTTCCTTAGTTAATACTCCATCTGCCATTTTCCAATGGTGATCCCAAAGTACTTTAGCTGCCAGTTGTAAATCCCAAACCAGTGATTTAGCCCTTCCTTATAATTCAGAAGAATGAGTGGCTCTGGTCTTATATTGACACATGCTAGGTCATCAAAACTTTGCTTAACAAATGACCACCAAGCCTGAATTCATCACAAAGATGAGAAAGGTCAGTGTGATCTTCTGTATACTTCCAGCATTTTACCAGTGGGGACTTGGGAGGACTTGCAGAGGAAGGATATCCCGGTGGTCTTCCCTCTCTCTGCCCCCCTCCTGTGTCCAGTCTCGTCTCCCACCCACTCCCCACCTGCTCTTCCAGCCTGGTTTGCCCTCTTTGTCCTTTGTATTCAGTCTCCCTAGTAGAACAACATGCAAACAGATTAAGAATTAGGAAAGTGAAGAAATGCCAAAAAGCTATTAAAAGTAGCAGCAAAGGGGCAGTGAAAACATGTAAGCACTTTGGCCAAGGAAACTGTGAGGTGACGAACAGTGCAATCCTAAAGAGGGTATGCCTGTCTAACTCTGCCAAGGATTGCACGGTAAAGCCACTTACCCACAGAGACCATTCCTCCAGGGCAGCAGAGAATGCACAAGCATTTGCACCAGAATGCAACAAAGCATCCGGCACAGCAGCTTCCTCTGCATCTTCTCTGCCCCAGATCTCCATGGACATTAGTTCTTTCCCCTCAACCAGAGTTGTTTCCACACTGTTGTTTTTGGCAGACACAAAGGCATTGCCTGGGTTTTTCTAGCACCCTTTCTGCTCCAGTTAAGTGGGGGAGGAAAGCGAGGATCAGGCACCACAAAACACAGCAGAGGGTGGCATGGTACCCACTGGAAGCATGTTGGGGAATCATGGCTGAACAGTCTTCAAGGGTAGCCCCAACACAGAGATGGGGAGTGCAACCCCATTCAGAACAGGTTGGCCCTATGGATGCTGTTCAGCCTTATTATCCACCAGCAACCTTACCTGCCCTTGTAGTTTCCCTGCGGCTTCCACAGATAGTGGAGCATTCTCTGTGAGTGCAAAGCTCTCCCTCTGTTGCTGGGGAAAGGTGCCCTTAGTGCCGCCTGCTGTAGGATCCTCTCCATCCTTCAGTCTTCAGCCCCTCTTCGAGGCCTTCGTCCCCTTTTATCCCCATAGGATTCAGCCCCTGGCTGCCAGACAGCATCTCAGCACATCTTCTATCTGTCTGCCAACAGGGTGACATGCTCCGGACCACGTGTGCTTACAACACCGAGGACAGGACTGAAGCAACTGTGGTAACTATGCCTGCCTGTGTGCAAAGACAATTGGGCTCTTCTGGAGGAACCAGTTGAGGGCCAGAAATTAACTAGTGCCCCAAATTCTCCCTTGCAAACGTTGATCTCCAGGATATTCAACAAATATTTGGATAGATGCCAGATATGCATCAGTTACTTGCAATGTATCTTTGACATCTTTTGGTAATTGATTTCAGTATTTGATGTCTGTTGGACTGTGTTGGACAGCTGACACTCAACAGGCTGGAGTATCTGACAGGTTCTGATAGATGGTATGCAAAATGCATGTCATGTTGGATGCTAGATGGCTTATGGCAATGGCACCTGTGAAAATTTAAACAGAGCCACAGGTTTAAAGCACTCAGATTCTGAAGCAGCTGGCTTTGAGTTCCAAATCCAAAAGTTTATATTAAAATGTGGATGGTGAAGTTTTAACATTTTGGCACATAGGCAGGGTGGATAAAGAATCTGGTGATCTCCTTCAGCAGCAGGTTCCTCAACTGAAGAAAAGTGGCAGAGCTGGAAATGACTTCTGTCACTCATGCAGTTGCCTTGGAAGCCACAAATCCGGCAAGGGGCAGGGCATTTTCTCGGGGCTCAAGAGCACAGCTGGTGTGCCCAGCATCAAAGGGGAGTCAGCTGAAAGTACTTTATTCTCATAAGGTGCACAGCTATCCCATCTACTTTCAGATCCCACCATATACAATAAAGGGCCAGCACAGGTAAACCTGCAATGGCGTCACTCATGCAGTTGCCTTGGAAGCCACAAATCCGGCAAGGGGCAGGGCATTTTCTCGGGGCTCAAGAGCACAGCTGGTGTGCCCAGCATCAAAGGGGAGTCAGCTGAAAGTACTTTATTCTCATAAGGTGCACAGCTATCCCATCTACTTTCAGATCGCACCATATACAATATAAAATACAATATACATTGCAGGTAAACCTGCAATGGACCCGAATGCTATTCTGCTGCAAGGTCAAAGCAAAAACTAGAACGACATACACCTCAAGCAAGTGAGATTCAGGCGGGTCGCTGTGTTGGTCTGAAGCACGAGAACTGAATCCAGATTTTTTTAGACTATTTGCTTGGCTAGAGTATTTTCAGCCTGCCTCTTTCTAAGACTGGACTCAAGGCAGATCACTATAAGATAACTTACTGGTAAAAACTGATTGTAATTAAAAAACAAACAAACTAATCCATGACAGAATATTCAAAATCCACACAAAGCTGTATGCCACTCAAGAAGTGAGCCAGACCACGGAGGCAAATCCACGTCTGTCCACATCCTGCCCAACCTCGCTTCCCCCAGCCACCGGCATTCTGGGACGTGGTCCTAGCCCACATGTCTGCAGGTCTCCCCAGTTAGCAGCCCTAGTGCTGAAGGGAGTGGGGAAAGCAGTACCTGTTCTGCAGCATTCCTGATGGTAGCTCCTGCACCGGACAAAGAAGAAGCAAACCAGTGAATCCTAGACTAGACGTCTGACAGAGCTGGTTTCCTCTCTTCCGGAAACGGTTTGACCGCAATAGGATCATTCCTCACAATAGCCCAGGATCAGTGAGGCTATTAAGAGATCATCTTGGTAGCCCACACAAGGCCAGGTTTCGGGTGGGATTGTGTGCACCTCCGTTTCAGAGGGGGCATAGCATTTGACAGTGGGCAGAGAACGTTTATTTCTTGCATTCATTTCTAGTTGTTTATTTGTGAAGCAATGTGGGCATTTGCCAAGGGAGAGCTCAGAAGCCAGAGTGGTGGCCAGAGGATTGGGGAATAGCTCTCTGGCTCTCTCTATAACCTGCAAAAGCAGAATAAATTATGCAGAAATAAGAATGGGTATGTACTTAAGGTGCCCATTTCATACAGGTCACAGGCTGTACAGCTTTCTTGGTGCAGGGTTTGAATTTCCTCTGCACAGGTTGCAAATGTGGCACAAGCCTGACTTTGTGCAATTGTCTGTGTTGATTGAGGGGATGGTAAGGATGGGTTTTGGTCACACCAGGAGGGTGGTTTAGGATGGGTTAGGCTGGGAAAGCTGGGGCCTTGGGCACAGTTTGTGAAAAAACGGAGCTGGATCCCATGTGAATCTTTTGGCTTGTCTCTTCTCTGGCCCCTAGGGTGGTTTCGGGATCATGGAAGAAATGTGTGTGAATTATGTCCACTACTATCCACAGAGGGAGCTGGAGCTATGCAAGAGTGCCGTGGACTTGGGCTTCCTCCAGCGGTATTTTAATCTCGTGAACAGGTGAGGCCACTGCAGGTTCAAATCCAAGGGCCTCTTCAAATTGGGGAGGGAGAATAATTTTATGTCATTTTGACTCATTCGGAACATTTTAAAACTTCTTTTATATTCTCTCTATTCTCTCTAGAGAATATATATAGAGAAAAGAGTAATCAAAACACTAAAAAATGAAAGAGGGGAGGGAAAAAACCTCATAAACTGAGGTTAAAAAAATAGTAGAGAACTTCTATAAAAAATTATACCAAATGCTCTCAAATGACTTGAGATTATTGACTGAGGAACGTACCCAAGAAATATATTTTTATATATTGCACTTTGCGTTTCCAAAAAGATTCTAAGACAGCAATATAGTGACATGTATAGAGACAAATCCAGATGGGTAGCCCTGTTAGTCTGTTTGTAACAGTAGAAAAGCAATAAATCAATCAATGTATTTATTATGGTCATAGACCAGCAAACAATACAATAAGAGGCAAGTAAATAACAGGTAAAAGAGCAAGAGTCCAGTAGCACCTTAAAGACTAACAACAGAGGTCATTTTGGGGTCGCAGTTCCCCCGGGTGAGGTACGGGGGGCGGGGCACATGACGAAGCCCCGCCCCCTGCTTCCGGCTGCCCCGCTTCTGGCCCTCATTCAGCCAGGAGGAGACAGGAGAAGAGGGAGGGTAACTTGCTTCCTCCCTGC